TGCCAACTTTAGACAAAAGTCTCCACTGGAAGGCTACCGTCTTCCCCCGCATGGTCTTTATAGATGCCTTCGGGCCAGCTTTCAGCCTAAATACAGTGGTAATGACTGTACATTCTATTCGGGGTGTCCAGAATAGTGCCAACTTTGGATAGAATCTCCACTGGAAGACACCCGTCTTCCGTTGGATAGAACGCGCGGTCGTTATTCTTGTGTCCGGGGTTACTATCAGTCTACATACTGTGATAATCACCCCACATCCTATTGGAGGGAACACGGTAATCTCACTGATGGACGCCACGAGAGGCTGTCTCTAGTCTCCATGATTCCGGTGTTTCCATTCTGATGTTTGTTATGAACATGATTGTCTGTTGAAATTTTATCAACACCCACTCACAAGAACTCCCGTACACGCCCATACATGCCCAGAAGGAAGGGGAGGTAGTGGAGTATCACACCGCCCAACAGAAAGAAACGCAGCGGAAGACTCAGAGGAGCGAAGTGACAGAACACACAAACTGTGAATTCTCTCCACACAGATCCCAACAATCATTCATAGAAGACACCCGCGTGATCATAGAAGACACCCGCGTGATCACCGGCAGAAATCAATGAAGAGATGACAACTCAAACACAGTATTATAACTCTTTATTAAACTCAGAGCATCGTTTTCACTGAATAACCTCAGAACCCCATTGCGCTACGCTCAGAGGGGTAGCGCCTCCACCCCAACACCCTGAACAGCTGAAAATTGCACTGAAACCCCAGGTAACACCCAGCGCCACCCTGACATCCAACTCAGTGGCCCATATTTCTATATTTACAGATATGTCCCTCACGAATTTTCCATACAGGCAGGTCTCTCGGTTAGTCCTCAGCCAAACAAAATTACGAATCTGTCCCTAACCATGGTACAGCCTCGTCAGAGTGAGGCTACAGGCAACCTGGAACCAGCAAGTCATTGCATATTCGCCCTCAGCTTGGTGCACCCAGCCCGCTATTTCACCCAGGATCCCAACAGTTACCTACCTGGATTCAGCTCTCCTCCACGACACTGCAATTTCCCGGAGTTGAATTCATATGAGCATGGCTTTTCTTCATCGCACCAGTTCGCCGTCACTTACTCTTGAGTCTCTTGAATGCTTCGCTGCTTTCCAACGTCTCTCAATCTTCTGCCATCCACATCCAATGCTCGTCGGAAGTCCTCCAGCGTCAGCACCGCTTACATTCCACAGCCTTAAATGGATAACAGCGTCTGGCTATACACCTTCACAGTGGCAACTGTAGACTATAGGGTGTCTATAATTGTTGGTGTCAGAAAATCCTGTCATGGTAAAAGTACTATCACGTTATGACAGAGCATTAAACCACCAGTACACCGGATGCTAAATGTATGTTAGTGTTTTTTCGAAAAAGTTGAAGGACAACGATGCTTACACCATGAAGCAGTTGTTCTCGCTTATCGAGTCCGCGCACAAGATACCGCCGAATTGAGCCTAAATCACACTTTTGCCAAGCCTAAAAGCAACCGGTATACCAAACGGGCCTAACCCAGTTGGTACACCGACATTCCCCCTGGGGGTCCCCTGTTGTTTTGTCTCTCTCTAAGTTGTTTTTTGGTGTTCTGACTCCTGAGTTACTCTTTTCTGATCGTCTCTTTTTCCGCGATTTTATCTTTTCAGTTATTTATTGCAATAAAGGAAGTATAAGGTAGAGCAGCTGGGTTCATAGCTTTTTATTGTTTACTGGGCAGGATCTGGGTACTTCAACTAGTCTACCGCTGCCCGCTTGTGACCTTAAGAAGTTATGCTTCTTAGTTCTTCTGACTCCTGTATTTTCTATGCTTGCCGGTGATAAGCAACCGGACTGGTTCCCCCCGGAATATACAGGGCCTGTGTCTTTTGAAAAAAAAAAAAAAAAAAA